CTGAGTCACATGTCGTGCTGCTTTTGGTTTTAATATGATGCTTTGTTTGTTTGAATTCCTAGCGCAACATGGCAACCGAAGGTGTGAGATTATTGAGAAGTGGGATGTGTTTACCTGGTAAGGCCTGATGAATAGCAGGCGAGGGAGTGTTCGAAAAAAAAACATTATAAAACGGATAGTTCCGATCCTTGATTCTGATTGGTTGAGCCGCGTTACACTACAAGCATACACCTTTGTTTACTTCTGTGTGTTTCTCGACAACCACTTTGTTGGAACCACAACTGTTTCTGAGGAACTACATTGTTTGGTGGAAGAATACTGTTTTGCTCTGTTTTATTCTGTGAAACCTTACTACGTATATGGAATAACCGTTTTATAAAAGCAATAAGCCCCATGAAGCTGTGGTTTACAGTGAATTTATATCAGCTAAGGGGGCTTCGCGTCGTGCCTAACAACGCCCCTTCACTGTTATAAATTCACTGTAAACCACGGCTTCTTATTGCTTTATTTTAAAACGATTCAGTATTTTTGTTAAGTCATGCAGAATGTAAACAGATTTTAATAGAGCTGGTTCAAAAAAAACAAATCGTCCATGAGCTGGTAATAATTTGAAATAGTAATCTGGTACAATTTAAAGTGTTTTTAAATCCAATGCATTAAACTGGTGGTTGCTGTCTGCACCTTTGGTGTAAGTCTGTAGACACAGTTTGTAGTTGGCTGTAGTCTTTGTGGTGTTTTCAAGCGAAACATTTTTTGGCCCAGGCAATGTGAGGCAACACTTCAGTCGGCTGTCATTGCCGCTAGTTCATTGATGTTGGTTTGGTGTGTCTGGACCTTATGGGATTTTTCAGCCATTTTATCAATTGTCAGGTGAAAATTGTCAGATAGAACAGTGATAGCACAAGTCTTCTCAACAAGTAGCACAATTTGAATATAATGTACATTTTCCAGTATTAAAAAACTAGTTTGTCCAAGTCCCTAATAGAGAAGTAGTGATATCAAACAATCTATAGCCTGAACATGAACTCACTATACAAACATGTCTTCTTTCCATCTATTTCTGTCTTTCGCTAACATTCTTTGTTTTCTCCTCTCATCTGTTCTGACTTCTCCAGTGAGACAAGAAAGGTTGTGCAGGCTTTTAAACAAGATTTTTTTTAAACTTGACTTTTTAGCCAAGTTTGAATTCTTAGAGTGAATTTAGTTTTTCCCCCCTCTCTCCGGTCTGTAGCTTTCCTGTAGTTTCAGTGTCTGCCATGCCGTAGTTTTCTAACAGAATGAGGTCAGACTGTATGGAATGAATTATTGTTTGGACTGTTGTTTCTGCTTGGACTGTTACATCTTGCAGCAATTGATCCAGCAACTTTGTGCGCACACACCCATTTAAAGCTTTCGCTTGGAGTTTTTTCCCACTAGTTTTCCTTTCTGTTTCTCTCCCTCAAGACTCACAGCGTTATTCACACACACACACACACACACAGTTTTTGATTTGTATTTAAAACACATGCTTGCACGCAGTAGGCAGCGCCCAATGTATTGCAACAGATGTTCAAAGGAAACTGAATGACAGCGTTTCTCTAGGCTCATCAGCGTGTTTCCAAGAAGTCGGAATTCATCTAAATTTTCTCTGAACAAACCCTGCTGCATTTGTAGGCTTTGGGTGTGACTGCTGTTGGAAGGGGCTGCTTGTGATGTCATGAAGACTGCTTAACTGCTGCCCATGTGGCCTATTCGGAAGATTCCCGCATGAGCCTTGTGCCGCAGCGGTGGCTATAGAAGTGGGTCATGGCATAGCTGATGCGATTGGAAGTGACAAAGCGAGAGGGACAGACCCGCTGCCCCACCCCCACATGCTCATCCACGTTGAAAAAACATCCATGTCAGTTCACTGAGCTAATATGCACAAATAGCTGATCAGCACATCAGATTTATTTGATCATTGTGCAGTGCTGTCTCTTAATACATTCAGAACTGAGTCTCAAACTACAAAATGCTATAGGCCTACAATGTGTGCTAGAAAGGAATTACATATAATTTGTACTATATAAATTGCAACAATAAAGAGTGCGGATATGCACAATAAACCATACAAACACACCTATAAAACAAATACTTTGGAGGTTTTAAAGGAGCAAACTGGTTTAAATAATGCCCAATAGTTTAAGTTAAAATTACTGAATTCGACAAATTGTATAGAAGTGAAATTTACTGACATCGCTTTGAATTTGCAACATGTCCAACTTAATTTGCAATGCGGAAGTAAGCTATTTTTTTTTCCATTAATGTGCAAAAATAACTAGAAGAACACAAAGTGTACTAAACTTTAAAGCTATTTGTGCTGCAGACTAGTGTGTTTATAATTATGATAATAAATTAAAATAATATAACATACCAGTTTACAATATGAACAGGGGAAATAACTGGAAGCGAATGACACCAAATTATTAAGAATCTTGCGTTAAAAATAAGGTGGATATAACAGTAAAATTCTATTTATGCACTGGCATATGAACTGTTATATACATTTAATTCTAAAATTGATTTGGTTATGAGATTTATGAAAATTATTTTATTTTTCAGTTTTGAACAATTTGTTGGATCTGCATGCTGTGGCATGAAATGGTTTCATTCTAAAGAAAAAAAAATGGGGGGAAATTGTGGCCACAGAGCAACTTTTTATGTCAAATGTGATTTTTTATAGATTTTGGCAAATCGGTGTTGCAGCTCTTTTTTATACTGCACTGTATAGTTGGATCTGCATGCTGTGGCATGAAATGGTTTCATTCTAAAGAAAAAAAAATGGGGGGAAATTGGGGGGCCACAGAGCAACTTTTTATGTCAAATGTGATTTTTATAGATTTTGGCAAATCGGTGTTGCAGCTCTTTTTTATACTGCACTGTATGATGTAACATATGCAAAACTACACTGTAAGTGTATTAGTTTTGAGTATGGAATACTGAATAAGACACTACAAGCACTGGATGTTATCTAGAATCAGGCCATTGGGATTTGAGTAGACATTACACAGAGGTGTTTCTATGGCCGTTGTTCTTTGAGCTGTGTCTTACAGCTAAAGGTCCGTTATGTTGTTCTCACACCACCAGATCTGATGACTATGCTATAATTGTCTTTTGTGTGCCGAGTTATGCTGACAAGAACATTTAGCTCCCTAGAATGATGGAAACTGAATTGTTTTGGGTAGTGGAGTCCTATTTCTAGTAGCTGGTTCTGGTTGGAATGATTTTTGTAGTGGGTGGATCTCTTCACTAGGATGCTGGTCCGGGGTTTTGTGTATCAGAGTTGATTCTTAATCGGCTTGGCCCGTGCCCATCATTCAGTCAAACAGATGAAGTTCGATTAGAGTGTCACTAGGGATTTGCAACCGCCAACACTGCCTCACTGTCCACTGCTGAGGGTTTTACGCAGACATGGCAGTGGGTTTATCTATTAGGCTAATAACTAATACCGCCCATATTCTACACCCTGTAAAACAGTCATGTCTTACTTAAGCAAATAAAATGATTCCTTTATTTCAGAGGAAATATGAACAACATTATTGCAAGGCTTTCATTTTTGCTAAACATTGAACATGAGTGCTTGGATTAAATGATTCAAATCAGCAAAAAGGGAATTCAGTGCACATAAACATAAGGAACTTTTGGCTGTAACAGTTCCCCTGCTAACTCGGCACATGTTTTTACTCTTTGGATGGCCAAATGAATCAAATGCATGCATGCCTTTAAAATAGTTTCAAAAGGATAAGTCAAAGTATGTGCTTTATTTCATGCTCAAGATTGTACGTGGTAGGAAACTCAAGAAGGTCGGAATGCCAGGTGTTTCAGTTGTAAAATTGCAGTGTATTATATTTTACAAACAGGAAATATTTTATGCCAGTGTAAAGTCCTAATCTGAGTGACAATGCTCCTAGTTGTTTTCACAAACCGCAGTTCAAATGGTCCTTTTCAATTAATCGATTCAAAAATACAGAGTTCTGGCATGAAACTCTAGATGGCGCAGTCCAATAGGTCTAACTCAATCTGACCTAATGACATCATTATCACATGGCACAGCTGACTGGTTCTCTCCTGTATCAGTAGCCAATGAGCTCGCTGCTCAACATTCAAATAAATGACTAGTGCTTGCAGTAGCAGTTGCAGCTTGCTTCAGAAACCCTCCACCTTCCCCAGCTCCACCTGTATAGATCTGCTACGGGGTGATTCATGTATGCTATATGGGGGTAATTTCATGTATGTTATATATATAATAGTTATCATTCACTTGATCTTGAGAATGTAATATGCAATCTTATAATTCAATATTGTTTTGCATTATTCCTTTATTTTTGTTTCAGACTTGCATGATATGAAGTCTGTGATGAGATGAATTTTCCATGCATTCTTGGCCTGAACCTTGATGCCAGCCCAGAATTAAATGAGCAGCATTACTCATTGATTGCTTGCGTCCAAAGTTACAAGCTCAGTACAGACCACATCAAACCACGAATTATTCTTTTGGTCATTTGAATTCCTTGACAAAGTGTACAGAGAAAACAGAAATGATCTCAACTGTGTTTAAGCAACCGTTTAAGCTTAAATCACCGTGGGATTAAATTAAAATCACATATGCATAAGAAATCAAGTAAACTGAATCAATTGAATCAAAACAAACCCCAAAATAGATCACAGGCTGTATTCTCAAGTCTTTAATTAAACTGAAATTTCACCTTGTGATAGTGTTCCAGCAGTTTTAAAATGTCAAAGCTATGTGCTTTTTGGGCAAGAATGACTTCAAAATGTTTCACCTGATGTGCCAATTAGTGTTGATGATCTTGAAAAACAAGATATCTTGTTTAGGGCTGTTTGTTTAGTTCAGTAGAATAAAAAATGAGTTAGTGTATGGAATTAAACAACAACGAATTCACTAAATCTCTAGTTCTACTACTGTAGATTTTTTTTCACTTTAGGATTCTAATTGATCTTTTCCTTTCTTTGTCTTACAGATGCATCCTCAAACTACATTCGCCAGCTAGAAACCAAGGTCCGGATTCTAGAGGACAATAACAACAAACTGCTGTCACAAGTAAGGACTGAGTTAACAACATGCTTTCTTCCTAAAGCACTTGAAAATATGAGTAATCTAGACCTAGATTTTCCATTGGTGGCATTAATGGTGGCAGTTTGGGGTTACGAAAGAGGCAGCCAATCTTTAATTTCATTAAATTGGCACACAGCATCCCCTCCGGCAGGAAGAAGGAGCAGCTTACCGTCACGCAGAGATTGTGTGGGCATCTCTGAGCGTCTGTGGCCTCAATTTTACCTCCCTTGTGGAGAATGAGTGGGTTTTACCAACCGAAAGAGCATTTAAAGTTCACCTATTTATGCTGAAGGCACTACAATCAATCTGCCTATCACCAAATGTCACAAATGTATTCACCCACCATAGTACAGATTTCTACAACAAACCACTTACTGTGAACCCATCCAGCAGAACAGCATTACAGCCCACTCTCCTCTGCACTTGAATAGGCCTTCTTTCACCTCCAGCTTGTGTAGATGTGTAGGTAGAAAAAAAAGGTTCATATTTGGAAAACTGAGAGCAATTACATTTCATAGCTTCACAGAGCTTCCTATTTTAAAGCTGTACTTGCAGGTAAAAGGATAGTTTAATTGTTTTGAGAATCAGTTAATCTGTTAATCTATTTCTTTAATCAATCAATCTATATATATATATATATACCGGTCAAAAGTTTTGAATAATAATTTTTTTTATGTTGACCAAAGCTTTTCCAGGCTGAATTTATTTGATGATAATAATAATAAAAATAAATAAAAATAAAAATACAGAAAAACAGTAATATTGTGAAATATTTTTACTGTTTTCTACTTTAAAATATTTTAAAATGTAATTTATTCCTGTGATGCAAAGCTGAATTTTCCGCATCATTACTCCAGATTTCAATGTAAAATAATAATTTTTTTCATTAGAAATCTTTCTAATATGCTGATAGGCTTCTCAAGAAACATTAATTATTATTTTCGATATCGAAAACAGTTGCATTATTTTCGAAACTGAAAACAGCTGATTTTTTTATTTTTTATTTTTTTTGTGGAAACTGTGATACAGTACCATTCAAAACATACTAAGGTAAGATTAAAAAAGAAAAAAATATTAATTAATATTTTCATTCAGCAAGAATATATTGATCAAATGTGAAATTAAAGATGTTTGTAATGTTACAAAGGAGATTTTCAACATTTCTAAGTTTGTTTTCAAGAGCCATTATTGATAATTGAACACTTATAATAAGTGATAATAACTGGGCATCAAATGAGCATTTCTGAAGGATCATGTGGCCTTGAACCTGGAGTAATGAGCTGAAAAGTCAGCTTTGCCATCACAGGAATAAAATATATTAAAATAGAAAACAGTTATTTTAAATTGTTATAATATTATGACAATATTACTTGTGTACTTGTTCAATATTTTTTGTAACAATGTTACTGCATTTTTGAACAAATAAACTTGGTGAGCATGAGAAACTTCTTTCAGAAACATCAAAAATTCCAAACTTTTGAATGGAAGGCAGGTGTTTTGAGTTGATTAGCTGATTGGCATGTCACCATATTCTAATTTGTTGAGATAGTGAATTGGTGGGTTTTTGTTAAATGTGAGCCAAAATCATCACAATTAAAAGAACCAAAGACTTAAACTACTTCAGTCTGTGTGCATTGAATTTATTTAATACACGAGTTTCACAATTTGAGTTGAATTACTGAAATAAATGAACTTTTCCACGACATTCTAATTTATTGAGATGCACCTGTATACATTTCATACTGTAATTTATTTTTGGTTTGAATATAAGGGATGTCATTTTTCTAAATTGTGTTCTCTGATGTGTTTTGTCCACATCCATTCAAACATGTTGCTATTACTGCATATCTCAGGTTTGGCATCAGAACATAAATGTGACCTCCATCATGGCTGTGTTGTGGATTCATTAAAGCTTGGAATATACTAAACAAGTCGTATTGTTGAAAAATATATAAATTTTTGACATTCCAGATCCCCTTTCACTTTCATCATGCAAAAGAGCAGCCAGAGCATTCATTAGCATTTCACCTTGTGTTCCTTGGAAGAAAGAAGGTCAGAATGACATGGTGGAGCAAAAGTGATGACTACATTTTCATTTTTGGGTGATTTATTCTGTTTCCAGTGAAAATGAAAACACTGTGTGGGCACTGGAAATACTAACTACAAAGCAGTTCATATGAAGGCCTTTGTAGGTTGCATTCATCACAGTATTCATAGAAACAAAGCCGAGAGTATTGGCATGGCCACAGACTTGAAAGAGTCCTTGAATTTGCAATAATTCTCTTTTAATCATATATCCTCATTACGTTTTCATTGCCAGCCCCCCTCTGTCTTGCAGTGGATGTGGGTGTACCAGACGGCGTTCCAATTAAATTGTTGTGCCTTTTCGAGGCATATCTATTTGAGTCTCTTTCGCTGAACATGTGGAACATCGTGCATGGAACGTCTGAAAGCATTTTATCCCCAGGATGGAAAGCACTTTGTAAAGCTATGATTAAAATGCAAGAGAGTTACTTTCTCCCTCTGGTCAAATAAGAGAAAACAGTGTGCGTCTCATCGCTGCAGTCCTCTGAGAAAGAGTGAATTCACTTGAAGCAAGATTAATTCAGACGAGAGCTCAGTCCTTCAGAGAACGCTGTCCTGAGAGCGCACATGTACTGAGCTGAACTCTTGATTTCCCAGGATGCCTACAATAAGCTTTTCCTAAAAGCCATTTCAGGTTTTGATAAATGACACTTTGGTTTGCAAATACAGAGTTCTGGCATGAAACTCTAGATGGCGCAGTCCGATAGGTCTAACTTAATCTGACCTAATGACATCATTATCACATGGCACATCTGATTGGTTCTCTCCTGTATCGGTAGCCAATGAGCTCGCTGCTCAACATTCAGATATATGACTAGTGCTTGCCGTAGCAGTTGCAGCTTGCTTCAGAAACCCTCCACCTTCCCCAGCTCCACCTGTATAGATCTGCTACGAGGTGAGTCATGTATGCTATATGGAGGTTAGGGATGTAACGATTAACTGCGAGCCGGTTGAAAATCGATTCAAATATGTGACGATTCAAATCGGTTGAGATGCTAAACAAATCGCGATTCATTTAGGGGTAGGAGTTTATATGAATGCATGTCTGAGGGGAACTTACTGTCTTTAGAAAAGTTTAGATAGTATTTTTTCTTTTCATCTTGCCTCTGTATAATGCATATTAAAGTTCATAAGTGCAGCGCTGCTTTGTTTACAGCGGAAACCAGGGAACGCTTTAAGCGCCACCTGCTGGCGGAGAGTGAATCTGCATCTCATTCAGCTTTGCTGTTTCATGCAGATATTTTTATTTATAGTTTCACAAAACTGAAGTCAAACCATTCTGTTTTTGCTTCAAATTTCGAAACTATTCAATCTAATTTATTTTAAAAAACTGCTCATGTTGCATGTATGCAGCATCTTTGTTTGGATCAAGATTAAAATGCAGTGGTTGCTTCTAATTTTAAATGGAAAGAGCACAGACAAAGCCTTATTTTGTTTATATGAAGATATTTATTTTATTTGTGTTACTTATTTATTTGATTTGGGGCTTGTTTTAAAATTTCAATTTAGTTTTGTTATTTACATTTACATTATATTTAAATTTAGTCATTTAGCAGACGCTTTTATCCAAAGCGATTTACAAATGAGGACAATAGAAGCAATCAAAACCAACAAAGAGCAGTAATATGCAAGTGCGATATTAGTATATTATTATAGTATTATATATCAATTTCACAAAGAAATGTGCAGCATTTTGTCCAAGCAATAATAAAAGGACACATTTAATTTATAATTTGTCTTAAAAAAAATTATAATAATTGTGAATCGAATCGAATCGTGAGTTGAGTGAATCGTTACATCCCTAATGGGGGTTATTTTATGTATGTTATATTTGCAGCAGCAGTATTTCTTACATGCTCACAGCAGCATGTTGTGGATATATTGGCAGTAGCAAGTCTCGGTACTTGCTCTGCCGCAGCAGCAGCGTAGCAGATCTATTCCGCCAAGACCAAATACATTAACATTGTCATGTACATTACCATGCCAATCCCTCTGAGAGTTGTCATGACATAACTTACTTTAATCCCACATGACCCTGAGAATGAAAGGTCTGTTTTTGGAACGGTCCAGAAAGTCTTAATTTTGCTGATGAACATCATTCATGACCTGGTAGAAACTGGTCACACACCTGATCGTGTAATTTTTGCCTGATTGTGGTTTAGTTTTTAGAAATGCTTCAACTAATAATGTGCACTGCATGTGCAGCAGTGTGTTTGAAATGTAATTGTTGTTCTGTAATATTAGATATTTTTTCAGTATTTCCTTTGCCTTAATTATTTTGCCAATGGCTTTAATTTTGATTAGCAGTCTTTGAAATTGAAAATCGAAAAACAAAGAACATTGTACTTGTGTGGACAATTTGGTTTTTAATTTGGAGCCCAATCATAGGCTAATGTTTCGCATTAGAAGCTAAATTTGGTGAAAGACCCCATGAAATCAACAAAATCAATTTATTAAATAGATAGTTCACCCAAAAATGAAAATTAACCCCTTGATTCACTCACCCTCAAGCCATCCTATAGGTGTATATGACTTTCTTCTTTCAGACGAATACAATAGGAGTTATATTAAAAAATGTCCTGGCTATTCCAAGCTTTATAATGGCAGTGAATTGGAGGTCGAGAATTTGAAGGCCAAAAAAATGCATCCATCCATCATAAAAAGTGCTCCACACGGCTCTGGGAGGGGGGTAATAAAGGCCTTTTGAAGTGAATCAATGCATTTTTGTAAGAAAAATACAGTGAGCGGAAGCTAGAGATTACCGTTTATAAAGTTTTAAATATGGATATTTTTGTTACACAAATGCAAAATGAAGACAAACGAAAGGAGTGCATTCCTTCCCATCTAGTGACATCAGATGACAATCTAATGTTGAATGTCCTTCAAAACCATACATAAGAAGTCCAAACATTATTATCTGAATAGTTAACCTGGTTATGCTAGCCCTTGTGAAGAAACTGTATGAACATGTACTTGTATTTGTTTAATTGGTTTGTGAAATGTGTTTTGTGTTCTCCAGCCCTGTAGCCGTTATAGCTTATCAAAGCTGTCCATGAAGGTAATTTTACCACACTTTTGCTCAGTGGTGGTGGAGCTCTATGTCCTCCTAGCTCTCTTCTTGCTTGTTTCTTATCTTTACATTCACATTCTTGGTGACTTCAAAAGCTGGTGTGTACAATGGCATGCTAGGCTTAGTGCTTGTGCTAACATGCTGGGCTGTGCTCGGGGGCTTCTGGCGCATGAGCTCATATGCTTGTCCCTCTGTGTTGAAACGTCTTTCCGATCTTATCATTTATTCAAGCAGCACAGGTAGTGCAGCGTCAATTTTTCATGTCTGACAAACTGATGGATGTAAAGATGAATGTGAACATATTTAAATTGTTAATAAATGCCCACTTATCTATCTTGGGCATCATCCCATATCTTCTCTAAGAGAATGCACCTCTCTGTGTTTTAGCACTGTCTGTCTTGAATTGCTTAAAATCATATTTGACTGCCCAGCAAAGTAACGTTGTGCATATTTTCAAAGCTAACTGGATTTTGGGTTGTCTGAATTGATTAGTTGACTAGTCGGTCATAAAGAGACCTTGTTATTAGGGTCCATCATACACTCTCATAAATAAGGTACAAAAGCTGTCACTGGGGCGGTACCTTTTCAGAAGGTACACTTTTGTATTATTTACCCCTAAAGGGTGCATATTAATACCTCAAAAGTACATATTAGTACCAGAAATGGTACATATTAGTTCATTTTGAAAAGATGTCATCCCAGTGAGAGCTTTTGTAGCTTGTTTTTACATGTGTTTTACCTTTTTTTTTGAATGTCACACTTAATTGCATAGTGTTTTAGGGTTAACAGAAATGTCTAAAATGACTGGGTAATGACCTGGCAGAAGATTACTGGTGCATTTAAAGTTTTTTTTTTTCTCTAAGGCTACGTTTACACGACAACGTAGTCAAAAACGGAAAAGTTTTTCCCTTGTGTTTTTAAATTATTTCACGTATACACGACAACATTTTCAAAACAATTCGCATTTACACATATTCGCGAAAACGGCCAAAAACGCTGTATTACATATGCCAGGCCAGCAGTGGTGGAAAGAGTACTGAAAAAATATACTCAAGTAAGATAACTTTTACCTTCCAAAAAATGTAGTGTGAGTAGAGTAAAAGTACTTGTCCAAAAAACTACTTGAGTAAGAGTAAAAGAGTAGCCTATTTAAAAGTACTCATGAGTATTGAGTAGTGAGTACTGAGCTGTGGATTCTACCCCATCATAATAAACGCTGTACACCGCAATTTGTATATTTTAAAAACGTTGTACATTCTGTAAATTCACATTATCTTGTTTGTCATAAAGAATGAAGAATATCTATCATCCAGCAGTTTTAATTTTGACTGCCAACTCTTTAAAATACATCAAAACAGCACAGAGACAGTATTCAGTTGAAGAAAAGATGAAAGTTATTCTCAGTACAATCATCCCCATTTAAATCATAAAGTTTGAAAAAATGAAATAAAGTTTGTCTCAGTGGCCTTACACATGATATTTAAAATTGATACAGCATGCTGTTGTTGCACATAAAATATTAATGTTTAGAACAGTGCAAATACAAACACCATTAGAAACTCATAGTTCAGCATCACACATCATGATATGGGTTAAAATGAGAGCCCATTTCTCTCCAAAACAGTGCCAGTTTTAGCGTTTTGCAATAAAGATATAAGAATAACTCAACTTGATCATTTATGTTACAATTTTAACATAAATGCACATTGTTCTAGAAAGATGGCAAATTCATGCCATACCTTTTACACATTTACTCAAATTTTTATGCTGATAATACAATTTGTAAGGAAAAATGCATGAAATAGCAAGGTATTTCTGGGGATACTTTTTCAAAGGAAAACACACACACATGTCTCTTTGCTGAGCCGCGGCGGTCTCGGTGAATCAGCAGCATCCACAACTGAACGGAACAAAAAGTGTTGAACTTGAAAATTGTTTATGCGCGAGTGCACTTGCTAATTGAAGGCAGATTGTATAAAATGGATTAAAAAAAAAACGTTTATTAACGAGCTGCAGTTTTATTAGATCACGCGCTGGCACAGATGCAGTATATTAACGCCACGGGTCATCAATAAGGTGTAGATTGGTCCTCAATTTGTGTTTCCAACACACTTTTTCACAGCGCACATCATGGCGCTCAAACTCATCAAAAGTCAACAATTTCAACAAGCAACAACGACTTATCCAAGTGAGTGATCCAATTTACCTAATGTGGCACTTGCGGGAGTTAACACTGTACGCAATACCCGCAACCTCACACCAAATTTCAGGCCGTGTAGATAGGCAAGCATATATACAAATCATTTAGTAAGCAGAAATCCGAAATTTACCTTAACATATTAAGTTGCGACGGAATTGATGCTTGAAGAATGCACTTCCAGCAGCCATGATAAACAGTTGGCGTTTAAAGTTTTCTACGCACAATTTGATTTGACGAAAGTCACGAGACCTATTACTATCTGTCCAATCATGTTGATGGATAAAAATAAAATAAAAATAAGCATGTAACGACCACAAACGGAGGAAAATAGCGGAGTAAAAGTACCGATACATCACTTAAAATGTACTCAAGTAAAAGTAAAAGTACAAAATTTTTAAACTACTCAAAAATGTACAATTACTGATAAAAACTACTTAATTACTGTAACGTGAGTATTTGTAATTTGTTACTTCACACCCCTGCAGGCCAGTAGTTGGCGCTGTCACCTTGTTAGTAAACAGTACCTGTAGGGAAGTGACGATTATATGTTGTATATGATGCGTCGCCGCTGTTGGTTGTAATATTGGTGAAGTAAATCCACACTTTGCTGAAGAAGCGTTGGCAAACTCTTAAACTGCAACAACAGTACCATGTACTCCGCCATTGTTGTGTATGTTTGTTCGCGCTTGCCTTTAAAATCGACACGTACTGCGCATGTCTTCATACCTAACACGTACTACGCACGTGCATGAGGTCACCGTTTTCAAAGATTTCCATAGATTCAAAGTTGTTTACATGGAAACGATAACGGTGGTGTTTCCAAAAACTTGCACTTTAAAACCCGTTTTCAAAAATATGCGTTTTCAGGCACCAAAACGCCATTGTCGTGTAAACGAACAGGCAAAACGCATAAAAAGTTTCCCATTTTTGGCTGAAAACGTTGTCATGTAAACGGCCCCTAACAGTGTAGTGACCTCAGCAACTGACTATTCTGTTGTTGAGTGACAGGATAATCATATCCATTCCTAATATGATGGTAACATGTGTGAAACATTTACTTGTAGTCATGTTTCACTAATTAATTTTTCTGATGTCGTCAGAGCAACAGCACCGTCAAGTGAGGAATTTTGGCCCTTTAAACAGGTTGCATTCCAGCAGTGCAGGTATCATTCTTGTTGCCACAATGATAAAAAATATCGTCAGTCTACAGGAATTCTGACACTTCCTCAGTGCTTTCAGGTTCGTTTCAAAAACAAAGATATGTCTAGACAAAAATGTGTGAAAAAAGCAGCATAGAAGCACTTTTGACTTCTGGAACCCATTGTATATAATTCCACACCCCCTCTGGTCCCTCTGGTTTTTATGTCCTTTGTCTTTCGCAGAAAAAATACATCTCTGTTAGAATTGTTGGAGAAGAGCTGTGTTACACAGCTGTGTGGTCATTTCTCAACAAGCAGTCATAATGAAGAGAGGATGAATATCCTGATAAGTGAAGGATAGAAAACTCTCCAAGGATAATATGTTATTTTAGAACTGAAGAGTTATGTTTTTTTAACAATCAAGCATACAAACATTAAATATCAGAAACTGAAAGTATTGATATACTGGTAACACTTTACAATAAGGTTGCATTAGTTAATGTTAGTTAATGTATTAAATAAAGTGAATGACGATGAACAATATATTTATTACAGTATTTGTTCACGTTCTCTGTTAACGTTAGTTAATGAAAATAGTCGTTCATTAATGCTCATAATGTTCATGTTAATTCACAGTGCATTAACTAATGTTAACAAGCACAACTTTTGATTTTAATAATGCATTTGTAAATGTTGAAATTAACATGAACTAAGATTAATAAATGTTGTAGAAGTATTGTTCATTCTTAGTTCATGTTAAATAAAGTTGTTAACTATGTTAACTAATTAACCTTATTGTAAAGTGTTACCAATATACTAAATTAATAATCCTCAGTTTGTTTGTTTGTTTGTTTGTTTATTTTGTTTTATTCTTTGGTCCCATAAGTTTCAAGAACTGTATGTTTTTGAAAGACAATAGTTATTTTTATTTATTAGTTAGTGGTTTAATAGTTATTGATAGTTTGACATTTTAATATAGATCAGAGTTTGATTATTTTAATAATATTTCTTAAATTAAAATACTTTTAAGTCATCCTGTGGCCCCCTTGAAAATTTGCTGAGGCCCTCTAGTGGGCTCTGGGCCCCTGCAAATTATATGTTTGTAAAATAATTAAAATATGTGTTAAAATACAATAATAACTGCAACTAAATGATTTTTTGTACCTCCCACACTGAAATATTATCAAGTAAAATTTTTATAAAACAGTTTCTCTTCTAAAAGAGAGTGACAGGGTTATATATAGGTCTTTCTTATAGTGATCACATGCATTCAGGGAACATGAAAGCAAGACATTGAAAACGTCATAAGGATCACTGGTGATTAGAGATGATGCCAGCTGGAGCCTGTGGGTGTCTCTATTATAGCAGCATGAAGAGATTCCAGCTTACTTTCTATGGACAAGAATACCTAAAGGATGGCAGGAAGCTGTGTGGGAGTTTGTTCTGGTGCTGAGTTCCATTCATCTCGGAAACTCTGGATTTCAAACTTCACACTTGGGAAAGTGCAACAGAGCGCAACATTGATGTCAGACCTCCTATTTCGAAACTTGATCACTCTGATTTTATCGATATGCAGGAATGTGTCATCTCACAAACATGACGGCAAATGTGCATCTCCTGAGCATCAAGCAATGGAACACTTTCATGGATGGAAGTTGAATAAATCTAGTAGGAATGTCCCACATAAGAAACAGCCCCAGGTAGTTATTTTCTATGTGGGTAATAGACACACAGCTCTGCTTGAGTGAGAAAAGACCAAAATCTCCAAATCTGTTTCAATAACATTTTTCAAGCTAGTCCAGCTAGCCAAGAGTTAGTCAAGACCCTGTTGAAAAAAACAGCATATGCTGGTTAGGTATGTTTTGAAGCATGGAAGCTTGTTTGAGCTGGTTTAAGCAGGAGCTAGTTGCATAGGACCAGCTTAAGACCAGCACATGGCCTGCTTAAACCAGCTAAGGACCAGCACATGACAAGCTCAAACCAGCTGCTATGCTTCAAAACATACCTAACCATGCTGGTTTTTTGTTGTTGTTTTTTCAACAGGGGAGTAAATAAATGGTACAATTTTTTTCTCTCTTTTAATTAAAGGGATTGTTCACACCAAAATGGAAATTCTGTCATCATTTTCTCACCCTCCACTTGTTCCAAACCTGTACGTTAGTAACCAAACAGTTGACAGTAGCTATTGACTTCCTTAAAATACTATGGAAGTCAATGGTTACCGTCAACTGCGAAAAACACACATGGGTTTGGAACAATTTAAAGGTGAATAAATGACAGATCTATCATTTTTAGAGTGAACTATCCCTTTAAAGCAGATATTCTCAATTTCTATTAATCATTTATCCTCTTTTCTCATACTGGTTGTGATCTCCAGACTTAAAAAACTTTCTTTCACGCACAACTTTTTTCTTGCCACTCCTATTTTCTCTGAGAACAGTGAAGTATGTTTAGTTCAATGGGATATTTAAAATGCACTGAGTCATAATGTCTCTCTTTCCCTCTTGTGTCATTCGGCAGCGTAATCTGGGAGACCTGCGAGTCCTGCGGAAGGGCATGACCCTCTACCACTCAGAATCACAGCTGTCTTCACTCCCCCAGAGGCAGGAGGCCCTACTGAATGTGAGTGATCCTCTCCAAGTCACTGTACATACAAATCAATCCAAGCATATTTTAGCATGTTCATTTGCCGTATTTTTAATCATCTGAAATGTGCTGCGACTAATATTCCAAAGCGACGTAGTCCTAAATAGAGCCCGACCGATATGGGGTTTTTGGGGCCGATACTGATACCGATATTAGGGAGTAAAAAAAAGGCCGATATCGATATATCGGCCGATATTCTTTGTGTATGTTATAGTACAGAATCAGTCAAAAGTTTGGACACTTTCCCATTTGTTTGTCCACACATTTGACTGGTACTATATTTAGAATACAGTATATACATAAACAGAATATACTGTCTATACATATACACATTTTTTGCAATGATCACTCAAATGTGGTGATCAAACACTTATAATGACGTGACAGAGATATGTAATGGAGGCAAGGCATTTAACAATTTAACAATAAACTTTATTATCCAAAATGAGTCTGACATCAGTGCACTGAACAGTAAAGTTGAAGTTTATTCAACTTTAATTCAATTAAATTCCATTCAACTTTATTCCGTTAAAGTTTATTTCACTTCAAAACATTCATTCACGGATTTGCGCTACTGTCTTCACACACAGACAAAACTTACTAGAGAAGTGTGAAGTGTGACATAATATACCTCTGTAAATAGATACAATATAAATTCACGTCTCGTGCACTTTAATGCCCTTTGAATGTAACGTGTATGTTCCCTTGTAACTGGAATTATGGCGGAATATCATGTGAAGTCCACATTCGTAGGGCACTTACGGTCAAATAAGACAACACTTGAATGCTGCTGCTGAACAAGAGACCTAATTACTGAAGTGAAAGTGTTGACTGGTGTCACTATCTCGCGAACGCGCCGGATTCTCCACCAAATTCGGGGGATCCCTTCAACTCGAGGAGCCCTCTCGAACGCCACCCTCCTCGCGTCGGTAGCCCCCCGGGATCGACAGATCGGTCGGCGCCGGACTGTGAATTTAACCACCCGTAACTCTCGAACCCCGGGGGCTATCGACGCAGGAGGGGTCTCATTCGAAAGCGGGCCTCTAGACGTACACTCGATTCGCGTTCGAGAGGGGTCCTTGAGCTGAAGGGATCCCCCGAATTTGGTGCGGGTTCGCCGTGCCGTTAAGGAGATATGGCCGTTCAAAGTTTCAATGGTATTCCATAGACTTAATCTTCAAAAGCATTTCATCCAGGTTGCCAGTAGCAAACAATGGAGTGCGCTCTGCTGGACAAACTAAGTAATTACACAATTTCAAGCATTTTATCTGCATTATATGTTTTGTAAAAAAAAAATTCATATCGGCGGCATATTCGCCTATACCGATATATATATGCTACAGGCTGATATCGGCCGATAATATCGGCAAAACGATATATCGGTCGGGCTCTAGTCCTAAATAATGCAGTTAACTTCATGTGAGAAAAACGTGAGCAAAGCACACACATTTGAAATGAGAGAGAATGATTTCCCACACGTCCATAGTTTAGGTTTTGCTTGAACAGATTTGATTCTAAATGAACAATTCAATTGCAGTGGACTGTTGTGCTCATTGATGGATTGGTTTAATGATATGGAATAAAACAAACTTGTTGTCATCTGTTGGGACTGGTGTCAGTAAATACACACAGGGACATTATTTCAAAATGAAAGCTCAGTCTAATCAGTTTGGCACTATTCAGCAACAACGTGGGAAGAAATTAGATCCTTGGTGCGTCAAATCTTTCATCTCTCGTACATTGCTATAGGCTTTTCCTGTATATAACTGGAGGCACTTATCTTATCTTAAAACTTTTCCCCTGGAAAATTAGCAGACCTACTGAATATACGATGAATGAATAAAGGGAAAAGCAAATGCGCCTTTTAAACATGTAGCCTTCAGCCTGTGCACAGGAAGTCTCACCACTGTGTTTTTCATGTTGCATGCTTGCTTGAAAAAATCTTGCCATAGTCAACTAAAAGTCTTTACAGCGTTAATACAGAGCTTGAATTAAATTTCTCTAAATTCAAACTCAGCATCTCCTCTGAGACAACAGGTCAGACTCCTATTTATTCTATTTGACCTTTCATGTTTTATAGATTTTTGGTGTCACGTCTAAGCAGTGGGTGGATTGAACAAAGGCATCAGACATTACCATCGCACAGCATTGTTTTGTGTGTGAAATTAAGCCAATGAAAACATTGAAAAGTACATAATATGTCTTAGAAGCATGCAAATTGTATTCAACTGCAGTTTTGTGGTCTAAGAATTGACACTAGAGTTTGTCCTCTTTAGTCAGCTCCTATTAGTCTAAACAGAGTGAGAACGACTTTCTTCGACCATTTAAAAATAGGTTTCTGCATGGTGTTTCTATGGGAACCATCTAAAATTATGTAGAGCTCCTTCCAGAAGCTTTGATTGCTATGCTCTGTTATGAAAGATATAGAGAGGTGTATTTAGATACTTATTAGATCATCATGAACAGGGCACACAGCAAAACACACAAGTGTTTTTTAAATAGGGTGATTTGCAGTCAGGATGAATGTATGCGGATCATGTCCAGCTCTCCTCATGTGCTATGAATGATTAAACACAACCAGGGGTTTTGTCCTCTTCAGCTGTCTGGGCTGCTGTGAGCGATGTTGAGCTAAGATGAATGTTTTAAATGGGATGTAGTTTTCATTCTGAATGATCCTCATATCTCTGAGTTGAGACAGATAATTAACGATGATGAATTAGTCAATAAATCACCAATGAGAACAGGACTGCATGATGATAATGGAGATGTGCTGTAGCTGGTTTGTTTTTTGGTCCACAATGATCTACCAGCTCGGCTAGTTCTCTGGTAGCTGCTAATCTGGTAAAAAAAAAAAGCTGCTAAAATGGTAATCGGGAAAAAAAAATCTTTAAGAGAGCAGTTCAATCTGCAGTCACCTTGGCTTCTATGTGCATGAATGGGGAATCATCAAATTCTGCAAAACCATTGCTTATGTTTACCGCTCTGTACTGTACTTCCGCTGGTCAACCGTTTAAACCAAACTGGACCCCCCCTGTTGAAAAAAACAGCATATGCTGGTTAGGTATGTTTTGACGCTGGGATGCTGGTCCTTTGCTGGTTTATGCTGGTCATGTGCTGGCAAAGGACCAGCATAAACCAGCAAAGGACCAGCTTAAACCAGCAAAGGACCAGCTTAAACCAGCAAAGGACCAGCTTAAACCAGCAAAGGACCAGCTTAAACCAGCAAAGGACCAGCTTAAACCAGCAAAGGACCAGCTTAAACCAGCAAAGGACCAGCTTAAACCAGCAAAGGACCAGCTTAAACCAGCAAAGGACCAGCTTAAACCAGCAAAGGACCAGCTTAAACCAGCAAAGGACCAGCTTAAACCAGCAAAGGACCAGCTTAAACCAGCAAAGGACCAGCATCCCAGCGTCAAAACATACCTAACCAGCATATGCTGGTTTTTTCAACAGGGCAGCTATAAACCAGCAATCATGTTTCAGTGCTTTCAGATGATTTATTCAGCAGGATGTTTTGATGTTTTTAACATTGTGCCGTTATCCTTTACAACACTTAAACCAGCAAAGCACCAGTTTAAACCAGCAAAGGACCAGCATAAACCAGCAAAGGACCAGCTTAAACCAGCATCCCAGCATCAAAACATACCTAACCAGCATATGCTGGTTTTTTCAACAGGGCAGCTATAAACCAGCAACCATGTTTCAGTGCTTTCAGATGATTTATTCAGCAGGATGTTTTTAACATTGTGCCGTTATCCTTTACAACAAGGCGGAGGTTTGGTTTGAAAAGTGGTTACAGGGAGGCAGGAGACAACCCTGAAATTATACTTTTTCAAACAAACCCGTAATTAAACCAGTGAGTCACAGGACCTGAATTATATTCAAAATGCTGGAGTTGAAAATATGGTGAAAGGAAGTGTGGTAATATAAAAAGTGAAGTGAAGTGACATGTGGCCAAGTATGGTGACCCATACTTGGAATTAGTGCTCTGCATTTAACCCATCCAAAGTGCGCACACACACAGCAGTGAACACGCACACCTTGAACACACACCCGGAGCAGTGTGAACACACACCCGGAGCA